CAGTTGCACATGACTCATACAGTTGCACATGACTCATACAGTTGCACATGACTCATACAGTTGCACATGTTGAAGGTTATCTGTTTATTAGCTTTGCTTTCTGAACCTAATTTTCCCACATGGTGCTGACTTCCTTGCCGTTACTGAATACTCATAATCAATCTCATATAATTTGACATATTTAGTGCGCTGTAAATTCGAAAATCTTAGCTACGTTTGTAGGTTTCTTATATTAACAAGTTGGCGACCAAGCTTGAATGGGTGGGATTTTGATCGGGCAGGTAAAGTGCAAAAACTATATTATGTGGTCGTCCACTTTTTAATTGAAGGTAGGCAATAATTACAAAGGAATAATTCATATTCTCTGCTATGAAAGATAAAATATTCGCAATTCAGTTCTATCAGAGTTTTCTGCATTTATGAGCCACAACAAACTGAACATATTTTTAATGTCTTACCCTAAGAGACCGAGTTTTATTGCTTACACATCGAGGCAATTATAGACTGAAGAAGACTGGGAATAATTACTAGTTTTATAAAAGCTCTTTATGCGCAAACTGCTTATCTCTGCCGCATGGTATTTGTACAAGTTGTACTTAAAAAACTGTGCAGTGTGCATGGCATCTTTTAAATGAATCTGAATCTCAACTCAGTAATGAGTAAAATTTTTCTACTTCGAAGGAGTGGCCCATTTTCAGGGACTGTGTAGAGTAAAACAGGTTCATTGCTTTCGATTCGAGTGACATGGGTGTGTGGTAAGATCATTTTTCGCGTCTAGAGTTTTTTAAGTTTTAATGTTCATGAGGATAATCAATTTTATCATATATAGTAACGAAGTAGGTTGTCTGTTCATGATGCATGACATTTGCAGTGTTTAACACGATTCAGCGGTGAATCTGGTAGCAAGTTTTGCCGCTTTTATGCAACAGAAGTTAACGCTGGCTTGCAAGGGGAATCCAATCCGGTTTGGACGCATGACGCAAGGCTGCAGCTGCACAGCGCGTGGCTATGAAGTATAAACGTATGTGACACGCGCAACATATGCCCCTATTGGAAACGCGATTTCGTTGTCTAATCCTCAATCTAATTTAATTCGTCATTTCGTGAACCCACCTTATTGTTTGAGTCGTTTATTAAGGATATTACTGGCCAGTTATCATATGAAAGTAAAGAAGTAAGCTCTGTCACCTTCACCTTAACCTTGCATGCCAAAAATATCCGACCAAAAAGAATGCAAGTATAGTTATAGAGAAGCGGAGCAGCTCGCCTGTCTGGTTTTCCTGGTATGTCATGTGCCTTCTGGAGAAGTTTGTCGCTTTCCTCATTCACATTTTTCCTCCTTGTAGTTAGGTGGGTATATGTTCGCTTCATAATCCAGTTATTTTATAAATATTTCTCGGTTATGATACTAGTCGTACAGATACTTGTCTTTGTATGAACTCTGGAATTGGTTGAATTTATCAGAGATATCGGATTTATTCATGTAGAAGCAACAACTGGAACTTTTTCATATTGTCGCTGGTCATTGAATCAGTGATAGAAAATATGCTGTGAGTAGCATATTTTTCGAGTAGCATTGACCACAACAGTTTAATTTCTTAATTTCAGAACACGACGCTACTGTGTTCGTACATAATTGCGGCAAATATCATTGAAATTGTTTGTTGTGATATTTGTTACTTATGAAATTTCGTACATTAGTAGCTTACATTAGTAGCTGACAGAGCTTGATTTATTGATTATAAGGTTAGAGTAAAATTTGCGCATGCGTGAAGTTCGGATGTTAAATGTAAACTAAAATTGGCTTTAAATAACTTATAGTAATTCATTTCTGCAGGGCATACATATATATATGAAAACTTTTACATGTAACTTTTGTAAATAGTTTTGTAACATTTCCTATGGGAAACATAGTTGGATTTTTAAAATGCTTACTTTTCCTACTATTATAGATGTAATTGACCTAACAAGTCTTTTTTCATTGCGCAACAAAGATTTGGGTGACTTTTACTTAGAAAAATACATGGGTTCTATTGTTCAAATAGTTACACGTTTTCTTACCACAGCACGAACAGATAGCGTAGCATTGATACGCCCATTGCCATGCCAAAATGGGTCAGGATGACCCACTAGGAGCAAATAGTACATTAAGTATTTGTATTATATTTGCTTAATAGTATTTGTACTAAGTAACTGTATTTGCGTCTCACTCATTTATCTGAATGTAAAATTTTCCCATCCGTCAGTTGGGCCGCGTTTGTTGTAAGAAGTCACAAGTGTTTTTTATTTCATTTTGATGACGATTGAAATTTCATTCGAGAATACGTAAGGATTGCAAATTGTTTGGTTCGTAGCTCTGGTTCGACAATAATCCGAATCGTGCAATCTAATTGATGCAAAGAATTGATCAAGACGCAGGAAGCATGAATTATTTTCGAGCTATGCATTTGGTGAGCCACTGGGCTAGAGATTTTTACTTATTTCATTTGTTCTTGTCCAGTATAATAATGTTAAGCTTTACAGGCGCTCGACAGACACAGTCTGAAACTTATCACAATTTTCTAGCTATTTCCGAAGGTCTTGAAATCTTCACGATATCTTTGGGGGACTCCTGTAACAGAGGCGGAGATGGTGGTGAAGGTTGCAGTGATGGAGGTGGCAGCCACTGGGGTGGTGGGGGAGGAGATGGTGGTGAAGGTTGCAGTGGTGGAGGTGGCAGCCACTGGGGGTGGCGGGGAGGAGATGGTGGTGAAGGTTGCAGTGGTGGAGGTGGCAGCCACTGGGGGTGGCGGGGAGGAGATGGTGGTGAAGGTTGCAGTTGTGGAGGTGGCAGCCACTGGGGTGGCAGCGGAAGGTGAATGTGCAACTGATAGAAGTAAAGTTCGTATCATATATTAGCAAATGACAATTTCTAATTTACACTATTTACAAAATAACATTCAGTTGATACTGAACAAAAAACACGACGCGTATTCCAGCAATTTTCACATGTTATTGACGATATACAAGGTACCAGGTTTTGCAAGTAAAATTATTTAAGATGCTTTTCCATGCGCTCTTTCCAAACGTTTTTCCCTTTTCAATATGTTCAATATGCATGTCTTCGGGGATCCACGTCACGAAGATGCACTTGCTTCTCCCTGTCACCCAAAGTTGTCCTTGAACTTGATAGAAGTATGAATGTCGTCTGTTCACAGTAATTTGGTCATCAACTAGTTTCAAATGGTCGCATTTCTTTACACGAATAGCATCTTTAATTGTTCTGAAATGACGTGCAGAGTCAATGAAAAAGCTTACGATTACGTTTCTGTTATCATCCTAACCCATGAATCTTATTTACGACCAGCTTAATTATATTCCCATATTATTGACGCTACAGATACAAGCAAATCCTGCCCGAATCTACTGTCATCACTGTAACAATGAGTTTGCTATATGACCAAATATAAACCGTCACTCGAGGTAACAATTAACGAAGACTGTAATTGAAATGTCTGGGTGCTTTAAAATTAACAGCCCCTAAAGCACATGAGAACTGGAGCGCAGGGAAGTGAGGAAGAAAAGAGAGAGGACCACAGACTTGCCCCTTGAAATGCGAAGTTATTAATTGGCATTGACAGTCACACGAGACAAGGTTTCACTAGCACTGTTCAAATTTGTTCAGGGACTGAATGATGGGTATCATTCATTAATAGATATTTTGACATAGCAATGCTATCTAATTTAAAATTTGTAACATTGAAATGTTCATGTTATTAGAACGTGTACTCATGAATTCATAGACATCATAATTAATATCGCTACAAGTATTTTTATAATGCGTTATTCTATATTCATGAATGACTTATGCAAAATTTTATTATAAAAAGATTTATTAATATCTTGTGTTAAGAAATTAGAATTTCTGATAAAATGACGCTTTTATCACATGAATTGGTTGCTTTTTTTCTGTATCAGTGCATTGGATTGCGAAGCTGATCTACCGACTTGGAAATGCAATTTTAACGATTAGTTAAACCCAAGATTAGTTTAAGGGGAGCGTCTACCCTAAAATTTAAAATTTTCACTTTTTCGGTTTTTATACTCATTTTAAAGCTGACATTCTGCCCTATCCAACGGTACCACTGCCATATCTGTACGTTGATTTATGATTTCACGACATTTCATGTAAGGGGGGCGGGTGGGGGAGTTCTTTAAGTAATTAGATAGGAACTAATTAGCTGCTGAGCTCATTAAAAAAAAACGTATAGAATTGAATATGGTCGTATATGACCAGCTCATATACGACCATGACGCTTATATACCAGACTGCGAATGGGCGGAGAAAGATGAGTGCATGTTTACTTTGAAGAGAAGATTTATTGCCTGAGCCCGCAGGATAGTATGGTCAGGTCGTGCTTTAATCTTACAGGAGTTTCACCTACCTTTGAACTTCAAGTGCATATATCTATTACTAGAAGATTAATTCAAAAATGTTTGGGTAGCGATCAATGAAGAATAAATAGTTGAACCTGCGTATATCGAGAAAATGCTAGAAAAGTCACAGGCTTTCCGAACATCGGGGTGCAAAATTGTATCCTCCCTGATAACAGTTGAAATAAAAAGTTTACATAATAATTCATCTTAATGTCTGCGTATTGAAAGCATTCCAGGATACGC